GGAGGAACAGGATGAGCACTGCTAGAGCCCTACAAAATGACCTTCAGCAGGCCACTGGTGATAATGTCTATTACCAAACTTCATGAGGGTGGCCTGAGGGCCCAACGTCCTCTAGTGGGCCCTGTGCTCACTGCCTGGCAACATAGAGCTCAATTGGCATTTGCCACTAAACACTAAACAGAATTGGCGTCCTGTGCTTTTCACAGATGAGAGCAGGTTCACCCTGAGCACATGTGATAGACGTGAAAGGATCTGGAGAAGCTGTGGAGAACATTATGCTGCCGGTAACATTGTTCAGCATGACTGTTTTGGTGGTAGGTCAGTGATGGTTTGAAGAGGCATATCCATGGAGGGACGCACAGACCTCCACAGGTTAGACAATGGCACCCTGACTGTCATTAGGTATCGGGATTTAATCCGTGGACCCATTGTCAGACCCTATGCTGGTGCAGTGAGCCCTGGGTTTCTCCTGGTGCACAACAATGCCTCATGTGACGAGAGTATGCAGGCAGTTCCTGGAGGATGAAGAAATTGATACCATTGAATGGCCCCCATGCTCGCTTGACCTAAATCCAATAGAACACCTCTGGGATATCATGTTTCGGTCCATCCAACGTCACCAGGTTGCACCTCAGACTGTCCAGGAGCTGAGTGATTCCCTGCTCCAGATCTGGGAGGAAATACCCCAGGACACTATCCATTGTTTCAATGTTGTCAGGCATGCACACAAGCATGTGGGGCCCTACAAACTACTGAGTACCATTTTGAGTTGCTGCAATGAAATTTCAGCAAAATGGACTAGCCTGCTGCATCATTTTTTCACTTTGATTTTCAGGGTGTCTTTGAATTCAGTCGTAATAATAAAGTAATAAACTAGTGAAGTAGGTCGATAATTTTTATTTCCATCAAACGATGGGACATCTTTACGTTCCTAACATATTACCCAGTCCATATCAGTATAGATATCCAGCATGATATTTTTCCCCATTGAGATCTGATGTGTTTTCAAAGTGTTCCTTTAATTTTTTTGTGTCTGTATATATACATTTAAGGGACAACTTTGTGTAAAAAAACAGAATTTGTCATTTTCCAAACATTTGTGGCAAAAAATAAAAACTTCCATGGACTCAACATGCCTCTCAGCAAATAGCTTGGGGTGTCTACTTTCTGAAAAAGGGTTCAGAATTGCTCAAAATTTACATGGTCCACAAAAATTTACACAAAATAAAGGTGAATAAAGCACCTGGATGGACAGCAGCCCCCATAGGTCAGCTTTGGAACTGAGCATGTGCAGTTCCAAAGTCTGCCAGGCTAGGTCGTGCACACACACACAGTGATGTCATGGCTCTTCTTGGTGCCATGTACAAATTACAAAGGAGCTGGAGAAGAACTGGAGCAAGCACCCACCATCTTCCCTCACTTGCTGCACCAGGGTCTCTTCCCATGTCTGCCTATCTTCTGGATAACTGCACAGTGCAGCACCACTCCCCACACAGGACACACCCCCTGCGCAGGTAAAGTAGGATCCTGAGAATTTGCATCACAAAGTAATTGTGGTGTATGAAATCCTGGATTGTACATTATACTACATCTATGTTGGCTCTCATTTACCATTACTACATCACTATGAAGACTGGGAGCCTGGATCTTGCAATGGTCATGTCTGCATGCATTTAATGACTAGAAGAAGATGCTGGTTCATTGAAAAAAATGAATGACCACATTTCTAAACAAATTCCTAGTAGTAAGAATTAGGAATGTTCAACACATTATACAGTGATCGGAAATCTGGGGTGTTGTTACAGCTATGGCCCGGGGGCCACATGTGGCCTGTTACAAGATTTTATCCAGCCCACAGCTGATCTTGACTCTGATGGGGATCCCAACGTAAAGGAGGAACTCTGATGTAAGGGGACTCTGATGGTTACAACGATGTAAGGGGGACTCTGATGTATGGATAAACTCTGATGTAAGTGGGACTCTGATTTAGGCTTCGTGCACACTGGGTGTTAAAAACGTCACTTTTAGAAGCATATGAGGGTTTTGCTTGTTTGCCCTTGCATGTTATCCTTGCTGTGGATGAAGAAATAGGGGAGTCAGAGGGGCATATGGTTATGATGAAAAAGGCACAAACGTGTCCCACGAAATGAAACACCTCCAGCCTGTGCACTGTGTATGGGGCTCATAAAAAATATGGCCATGGGGCAGAGCATAAAAGGACAGAGTACAGAGTTGATGTGATGACTGAAAGCAGAGGAGGCTCGAGCTGCCCGAGGATCGGGCTCTTGTGTAGGAGGTCAGTTGTCAATGTGACATTATTCCAGCCTCGCCAGTCATCTGTGGTGGGGGGAGAGGGATCACTGATATAAGGGGGGAGTGAATACACTAAGGTAAGGGGGGAAACTGATATAAAAGTTCCCCCTTATATCAGGCCCCCCTTTCACCTTAGTGTAGTCACTCTGCAGAAAGTGTTTTTTGCCTCTGGTCACCAGGGTTCAGACTTCCCCCCAAATCAGAGCTCCCGAAGTTCAAGTTTACATCAGGGTCCACAGAGTTTCCCCTTGCACTGTAAGAGGGAAACCTGAAGACTCTGATGTAAGGGGGAACTCCGGGAACTCTGATTTGGTGGGGAGTCCGAAGAGTTCTGCTTTACACCAGAGTCCACAGCATTCCTCCTTACATCATGGTCCGCATTGTTCCCCTTTACATTAAAGTTACCTTTTACATCAGGGTCTGCAGAGTCCTTGCCCTGTAAGGGGTGAATCCTGCAGACTCTGATGTAAGGGGAAACTATGTGGAATCCTGTGTAAGGAAGGGGGAAGGTCTGGTGAAAAGAGACCCCTTTACATCAGAGTTCCCCTAAAGGGTCCTTTCACACGGGCATTCCGTTTTTTCATCAGTTCAGTCACGTTTTTTCGAAGAAAAAATGGATCAGTTTTTCATCAGTTTACATTAGTTTTTACATAATTTTTTTTCGTAAGTTTTTACATCAGTTTTTAAATCCACTACCAATTCAAAATCAGATGCAAAAATTGACCGTTTGTCCGTTTACATTAGTTTTTTGTCTGTTCCATTTTTTTAATGGAACAAAAATAGAGCTTTGATCTGTTCCAAAAAGACGGATGTTGACGGCTGTGGATGTAAATGGATGTAAACAGATGGTCAGCCATTTTTTCATAGAGAAGCATTGATGTCTATTTTTCATCCATCAACGGCCTTACATAACGGATGGTCTTCAGTGTTCCCTTTTACATCAGGGTCCACAGTGTTCTACTTTACTTCAGGGTCCGCAGTGTAAGGGGGAGCCCTGTGGACTCAGATGAAAGGGAGAACTTTTTGGACTCTGATGTAAGGGAGAACTTGCCCCATTTGAAAGGGGCCTTACATCACAGACGGTCTGCAGTGTTCCCCATTTACACTGTAAATACTGATATATACACTGTTTTGCACTGAAAATGGTAATTTTATAAACCTTTTTGAAATGTCAGTAAAAAATTTGGCAACACTGGCGCTGGAGGTTGGCAAAACTGGCTCAGGATGACAGGGTTGGTTTTAATTTTTTTCTATTTTATTCCTTTTATTTTAGTTTTGTTTCCATTTTTCTTCATTTAACTTTATTTTTTATCACAAGGGGGCTAACAGGCCCTCTCTATGATAGAATTAGGCAGGTGACCCCCCCTAATGTCCCCCCTGCCCTCCACTGCAGCTAATTAAGCACAGATAATGCTTGATCTCTGGGAAGAGCACAGGAACCACAGAAGGGGATAAGGGTATGCGCACCACAAGCTCTGTATTAGTGATCAGGAGGCTATACAGCCAGATTCATCACTTTTATATTACAGCCAGGAGCTGGCTAAACAAAACAGTAACAAGCTGCTGCCACTCTAAGCTTATTTATAACCCTTCAGACTCTGGATATAGGTAGATGTATGTTGTTGATCTCCATGCACTGGACCTTGCCCAACTACTTAACTAGAAATATTATTGATTATGGTTTTTGTGAATGCAATGCCTTTGGTAAAAAAAAATCCCAATAATTTTGTTTTGTGCAAACATTATAGTGTCTACAAACTATAATATATATATATATATATATATATATATATATATATATACTGGAATTTACGCAGCTATGACACTATACTGGTAATGGCAGTGATCAGCGGCTTATAGTGGGACTGTGATAGTGTGGCTGACAATCTGGCACTAGCTGACGCTGGCTGGGAGGGACACTAACTGACTGATACAGACATCAATAGTGACAGTAATCAGTGCTACTACTGTACACTGTCCCTGTACTAATGACACTGGCTGAGAAGGGGTTAACCTCCTGAGGCAATTAAGGGGTTAATTGTGTGTCAAACAAGTGTAATGTGTGTAATACTATATTTACTGATTTTACTTTACCATATAGCTGTTTTTTTATCCCTGCTTTGCAGGGAGAAGAAACAGCCAGATTGCTGTTCCATGTACACAGAGTTATGTGTTTTGTAAACACAGAACTATGTGTGTGATTAGACACAGCTAATAAGCTGACTTCAGCCAAAATCATTAGCTGAAATCAGCTAACAAACTCCAATCACAGTACGAGTAGCGTGTATGCACATGCCCCAAATGTGGAAGAAGGCCAATCAAGTACATATACGTGATTGTGTCTGTGTGGACAAAGAATAGTGCACTTAGAAATGTGAGTAATTTTTTTATTGAATCTATATATATATATATATTTTTTTTTTTTTTTACGGAAAACACTATGAATAAATTGAATAAATGTAAATGGTGCAGCGCTACCTTACTATATCCACCAATACTCATATATGATCCCATATGAACATACAAATATCTGGTATCAGGTAAATGCTGCAATACACCTCCCTCTAGACTAACATCTGTATGAATACCTTTAACATAAATTAAACAAAAATAAGTGGAAACATGGATAACACAATAGCAAAATGCGTGTTACATACAAGAGATTTTCCCTCATAAAACCATGTGCTCAGGGACAGACTGACAACTCATGGGGCCCCCGGGCAATAGGGGACCATGGGCCCCCTGTGTCCTTGCCCACACTCAACCACACCCAAAAAAGCTTATGAAAAAGGTACCAGGGGCATCTCATGGGGCCCCCTTCTGACCTCGGGCCCTCTGGCAGTGCTCGAGTTTCCAAATGGTCAGTCCGCCCCTGCATGTGCTGAAAAAAATACTGCAAATCCAACTCCAATACCTCTTACCCTCTCTACATGTAATACTGAATAATGCTATGAACACAATAGGTGAGTCCTTCAAATGCTGTGAAACAAATGACAAAAGAGTCCTCTGAATTACAGGTAAAACTAGAAAAATTAGAATATCGTGCAAAAGTTCATTTATTTCAGTAATGCAACTTGAAAGGTGAAACTAATATATGAGATAGGCTCAGTACATGCAAAGCAAGATAGTTCAAGCTGTGATTTGTCATAATTGTGATGATTATGGCTTACAGCTCATGAAAACCCAAAATCCACAATCTCAGAAAATTAGAATATTGTGAAAAGGTGCAATATTCTAGGCTCAAAGTGTCCCACTCTAATCAGCTAATTAAACCATAACACCTGCAAAGGGTTCCTGAGCCTTTAAATGGTCTCTCAGTCTGGTTCAGTAGGAACCACAATCATGGGAAAGACTGCTGACCTGACAGTTGTGCAGAAAACCATCATTGACACCCTCCATAAGGAGGGAACGCCTCAAAAGGTAATTGCAAAAGAAGTTGTTGGATGTTCCCAAAGTGCTGTATCAAAGCACATTAATAGAAAGTTATGTGGAATGAAAAAGTGTGGAAGAGAAAGGTGCACAAACAGCAGGGATGACCGCAGCCTGGAGAGGATTGTCAGGAAAAGGCTATTTAAAAGTGTTGGGGACTTTCACAAGGAGTGGACTGAGGCTGGAGTCAGTGCATCAGGAGCCACCACACACAGACGGATCCTGGACATGGGCTTCAAATGTCGTATGTCCTCTCACTCTGTAATCTCCGCACTATGCTGGTTGGAATTCTTCCTCTCCACCATATGGACCATGAAATTTCAGAAAAGGGAAGCTTCCATAGTGTAAAATCATTTATTGACTAATATAAAACAAGGTATTGCACTTCCACCAATATAAAATGTGGGGCGCTTCCTGTAGTTTTCTGAAGATTAGATCAGGATTGAAGTAAAGCTGGAAAGACTAATGATTTCAGCTTCCTTATAGATACTTCCTCTCCTACTTTTTTACTCAAGCCATGAGACCAACCTAGTACTTACAGCTATGACTATAGTCGGCTAGTCTTGGTCTTGTAATAGTACATAGTAATAAAAATAGTATAATAGTCAATAACATGATCAATTCACAATATTATTAGCTCTGCTTTTATTCACTTTTATTTTGCTGTAACAGTAAATGTAGCCAATGCTGATAAAAGCTAGTGTTGTATTTTAGATTACAAATGTATACTTTGCATTATAATTTTAATAAAATATAGAATATAATATAAATATCAGTTTCATTACCAATGATTTTTATTAATTTTCCAATAAAGTACAAAAGCCACCCTACAGACATGTGGGATGGGAGAAAGACATGCCTAACTCCTGATATATTGAGGCACATATTGGTGTAGAGGACAAAGAAGAAAAAACAAAAAAATAGATTCTATTGAAGTTCCCATAACCCAGAGCATTCCTCTGGGATACTTAACTAGATAAGAAGGGAAATACAAGAAATGAAGACAGGCAAACACATTTCTTCACCACTTAACCTTTGATAGCTTTATTATAACCAAGTGTTAAAGCAACTTAGAGAGTCCCTGATGGTGAGCAACAAGCCTGACACTTGGGCATATTTTCTATTACTCCTATTGTACACCATGCGACAAATAACAGCCAGTGTATCTCGTACAACAGATAGAATAGAGAACACACCCCATTAAAGGAGAAGACTAAAAACCAAGAAAGGAGGAAAGATAAAGGAAAAGAAAGACAAAGGTGCACCCTCCCTTGATACAGGTGTGAATAAATTATCCAAGCCATGAGAGATCTGTAAGGTACTTGATCCATGTATCCCAAGTTTTCTCAAAGAGGGCCAGTTTGTCATGTAGGATTGCTGACAGGCATTCATTTGTCATGATCCAGATCAACTTGGCCTTCAGAAGGTGAAACGGGATCACAGGGGACATCAAGGATCTTGTAACTGAGATTCTAGCAGTAGTAATGATAGTAATGATAAAGGTTATCAACCGTCTCTCATGTCTCAGTGTCCCCTCTACGGACTCCCCAATAGGGCCTATTGTGGTGGTTTAGTGAGATTTACCTGGGTAAGAGAATAGACTAAATTATTTGTGCATATCCAGAACCGCTTAACCTGTGGGCATGTCCACCATATATGGAACACTGTTCCCTCTTGACCACAGCCCCTAAAGCACAAGTGAAGGCACCTGGGACACAGGATGCTATTCTCGCTGGAGCCATGTATGAGCCTAGTTCAGATTTCCATTGCCTTTTAAGAAACTTCCAGATTAAAAATTATTAAGTACATTTTTTTAAAGTTCAAGCAAACCACAACTTTGAATTTAAGTTATCGCTTATCAATGCTGGTGCATTGACCTATTCCAGCAGGACATTTCCACCATCTATATGTTTTACTGCATGCATAGATTAAAGAGGCCAGTGTAAAAATATTTTTTATATGTTGTTCTATGCTTTAACTTTGGAACTATAGTCTTCACTATGATTTAACAACAGTTTGATTTACGTTATTGCTAATACCAGGAGGCCTGTCTAGTTGTCATTGTGTTTCAGCATGTGGGTAGTAGCAGAAGGGTGCTTTTTTAATTTTCGCCCTGGGAACTGTACTTCTTAGAAAACACTGTGAGTCAGCTTAATGCATTTTAATGAAAGCTGGTTCTTTTGTAGTAGCACAGTAGTAGATCTGCAGTGGTGCATTTCTTTCAATGTAGGTTTCTTTTACATGCCTTTGTTTATATTTCTTCCTGCTCAGATACCAGAGAGATAATATTTACAATTTATAAAGCATATAGTCCATGAATTATTCATGTACTGCATTTCATTACAATATATTTTCTAACCAGAACTCCCAAACTGCGTTGGATTGTTTGCATTAGGAAAAGTGTCTTAATGTGCACCTATAATTCTGTAGCAAACACCATACTAATGAAAAGCAGAAAAGATGCCATTTTTCAGAAATAGAGGTGTTTGGGAAAAATGTATAACTTTCTGCCTCTCATATCTCTAGTCCTCCTTCACACTGTAAATGCAAATTTATTTTCTGCATATATTGTACATATCATCAATATACACTCTACAGGAAAAGTTGTGTAAACATCCCTCCAAATTATTGAATTTAAGTGTTTCCATTGAAGAGTAGTGTGAAACGAAATTAAACTAGTGCTATGCTAAAGGTTTAATTTTTTTTTCTAAAAATAACAAACATGTCTGCACTTACCTGCTGTTTGCAGTGGTTTTGCACAGAGCAGCCTGGATCCTCCTCTTCTCAGGTCCCATGCTGGCACTTCTTGCTCCTCCCTCCTGTCCGGTGCCCCCACAGCAAGCAGTTTGCTATGGGGGCACCTGCTGCTCCATGTGACCATTCATATATACCGTGCCATGACTCTGCCCCTTCTCTCAATGGCTCTTGCTGTTGTCTCAGGCAATGAGAAGAGGGAGTCCTGGGATAGTAGTCCAACATTGGATCAAGAAGGGGTTTGGACCAGCATTAGGGGGGGCTGGGGCTGCTACACAGAGGAGGTTTTTTACCTTCATGCATAGAAAAACCTTGAGCTTTTACAACCACTGTAACCTCTTTCCACTTCCTCCTGGTGGTCCTTTAGCAATCTTAATGCCTGGAGGTGGGGCAGACTTCCTGATCATGCGATCACTGTGAGCACATTATTGGGAGCCTCTTCCACTGGCCCCTGATCACAGAGACCAGGAGCTGTCTGTTGTAGCTTGGTCACTGTGCTGGGAGCATGCAGTGAGTACAACCTCAGTCACCATGAACACAATTGTGCAGCATGTAGGCATTAAAGTTACTAAACCCACAACAGTAAAATCAGTCTGTATATGCAGTAAAGTGTACTTGATATACTCACTGTGGAACCTAAGGGGTTAATCCTCTGCATTGTGTAAAAATGCCTTTTGATCCTGACTTCTCTGATCCTCCCCTTCTTCCAGTGTCCCCCCTCTTATCTCCTGATAAGACATATCTTGTGGAGCTACTCTGCACATTCTCGGTTTGGTGTGTATTGCTAGAGAGGTTTTTTTTTCTTGGGAGAGTGCATGTGACCAGCACAGGGCCAATCAGTATTTTCCAGACAGAGGTCAGGGGTTCTGCATCCTCCTAGAGTAGAAGGAAAACTCCTACAAGCTTTAACCAGTGTTCTTCTGAACACTGATAGAAGTCACAAGACTGCTCTAACTGCTGATGATAAAAGGTATTTAGCAGTTTATATCTACTAAAATAATTGCACTTCCATGTTCTGTGTACTGTGGGAGACCAGATATAGTGATGCAGGATCCTGGGTTTAGTAACACTTTAAGGTTTCCACACATATGTGTTACATGGTCAGAACAACAGGTACTTCTGTCCTTCTGATTATGATGTCACAAATATGGAAGCAAACCCTGCAAAAAACGCTGCAAACTGTGCATCAAAAAGTGTCACATACTCAAAATGGATCTTCAGTATCACCGGATCATACAGCTTTAATTCCTCAAAAAGTGGCACATACTTCAAAGGGATCTTCAGTATCTCCAGATCATACAGCTGCACCTCCAGTAATATTGTGTACCTTATCCAGTGCAAAAAATGTAGCAAAGTATCTTACGTTGGCGAAACAGGACAGACTGTGAGAACAAGGATGAATTTGCACAGACATACCATCAAGGAACATAAAGAAGATGACTTCTGCACACCTGTGGGACACCATTAATCACAACCGGACCACACTATGGAAGACCTCAGTATCTTAATTGTTAAAGGCAATTTCAAAATTATTCAGGAAAGGAAAACTTTTGAACTAAGAATTATATTTCTATTTGATACAAAAGATAATGACCTTAATTTAAACATGGGTTTCCTCACTCATTATCCAACAGTTATACGACCCCCTCTGTGACTGTTATCCCAACCCCCTGGTGTTTGCTTTTGCTCTGATTAACAACATTTTAAATAATACTTTTAGGCCAACATTTACGACAGGTAAACACAGGAGGAGGTTTTCTGCAAGAATCCAGAAGTACATCACAATAGCAGCCAAAGACCTCCAGTGTGTCCACAAGCCAAATTTTGTAAGCAAAAAAAAAAGGAAAGATAAATAAATGAAAACTGCTGTAATCAATTTAAAACACGTAGTAGCCTCCCTGGCGGTATTCCCGAGTGTAGCTCGGGGTAAAGTTTCAGTACCACAAGCGGTAACCCCGAGCTACACTCGGGCTTACCATGCGGCGCTGCTCCACGATCCCTTGATCAATTACCTTGTCCTGTCCCTCGATCAATTACCTTGTCCTGCGCTCCCACGACGTCCCTCCTAAAGTGTCCCCGGCAATGTAATCCGGCGAATGCCGGCATCTGCCATCTGGGTTCCGTCCTCAGCGAGCGTCGGGACGTACGGGGGACGGAACAGCGGGAAATTTGAAAATGACAAAAAGTGACATTCACAAAAATCACTAAAATCACATAGTAAAGCATTACTGTATCAAACCATTCCACATACATTTTGTCCCTAATGCTTTGTCCTGTGCCCTGCCTTAATTTTTACTGCTCTTTCTGCCTGGAAACTGAAAAATGTCCATGGCGTCCAAAAAGTGTCCCTTTAGGTCAAAAGAAGTTTTAGACCAGCTAGAGAACATCAATAGTAAGTTAGAACCACTTGCAGAATTGAGTGATAATCATTCGTGGGGAAATTCGTCATCAGACACTGAAAACGATTTTGCGACTTTGCTCAGTGATGTGCGAACCTGGCGCTATATTTCAAATTTCAGTGTTTTTGGTTTGATTATATTATTGAATTAAATTTATTATTATTATGTTATTATTTTTTATGATTATTTACTAAATTATAATTTATGATTTCGTGTTTCAAGTTTTATCCTACTGTTTACTAGACTCTTCTTTGGAAAGATTTCAATGAGTTATTCCTAAGAATTACAGGCCTACAATAAAAAACGCCAAATTTCCATGCAAAATAATGGTCATCCTGGTGCAGTACAGCAGTTTGTTACCTTGTTAGCATGTACCTTTTATAGGTGGAATGACCTCTAGCAGTGAAGGAGATGTCAGCACTTCTGCCCATGTTCTGACAGCACCAAATGTGGGCTCACACTGCAGACTTCCCCATCGTGTATAGAGGTATGGAAGCTCAAGAGTCAAGTCAAGTGCAGGTGCATGGTGGGGCTCACTCTGTTACTAGGAACGGTAGTGGAAAATGCTGGACAGGTAGTTGTGGACAAGGCTCAGCATGTTCCTCCTAATTGCAAGTTACCGTGGAAAATGTACATTTACACAGGGATCTGAGAGTTAACTGGAGAACAGTTGTGGTGTACATGGTGTACGTTCATGTCTAAGAGTAGGGGTCTGCCTTAAGGGTTAGTATTCCCACATGGCGGCCTCAGCCATGTCCTGGGGTATTGATGAAAACAGCACAGAATAGAGGTACCCCATATGTGAAGTAGAGATCTTGTTACATGTGCCTAGCATAGCCCAGAAGAAACCATCCCGGGGTAGGCCTCTCCTGTGATCCACACTTGGCACTCAACGAGTAAGGGGAACATGGAGAGAGTAACACCCGCCTGCCTCACAAGGGGTTTAACTACTAGAATAAAGAGACCACATATGACACAGCAGTGTAAAACTGGCCAGCAACAGAACAATTTTAAATAGCAATTTTAGACTCCAACTTACTACAAAGAACTCCAAGAATTAAGAGACTACAGATGACACAGCAGTAAAAAAAAAAAAAAAAAAATGGGCCAGCATCAGCACCATTTTAAATAGCAATTTTAGACTCAATTTACTACAAACAGCAAGGTAGGGGTTTTTGACAAGAATTTAGAGACCACAGAAGACACAACAGCAGCAGAACAAATTAAATATCAAAGCTAGGCCCAATTTACTAGAGGCAGAAAAGGGCAGGATGGGGCTTTACTACAAGAAAGAAGATCCTGCAGAGGATACAGTAATGTCAAATTGGCCAGAAGAAGGACAATTTAATCCGGGATATATAACCTAACCGGTATAGGCCTACATTTTATTTTATCTATGGGGATACCAGACACATAACAAATCCCTTAGCTGACCTATGTTCAAATGTCAGGAGATGGATTATTGATCGTTGGTTGCTATGGTGGTGAATCTGCATATTAGCTAAGGCGGAGCTCCAGTCTCCAATGAAAAAAAAAAAGCTCAGCAGCTACAAAAACTGTAACTATTTACTATTAAATAACAGCCACTCACCTGGCCATTGATCCAATGGTGTGCTCACCGCAGACGGGATCACCGTCTGTCCTCTGTTCCTGACACCGGCATCCTAAGTGTGGACACCCAGCTATTACAGCTTGCAGCTCCACATCTGGGTTCCCACTGCGCATGCGAGAGCAGCACTGCACATTGTGAATGATCCCGCAGTCTTCTGGGACCTGTTACATGTCCCAGAAGGCTGGGGGAGGGGGGGAGGAGAATTTCCGCTTCTGATCACCTAGGTGAAGTGGGAGTGGGTACCTATCAAAATCGGGTACCCACTCCCCAAAGGTGCCAATCCTTAATGGGGAGCGGGGGACAAGTCCTTACAGCGGAACTTCCCCTTTTGGGTGGAGCTCTGCTTTAAGCAGCATAACTGTTCCCTGTGACTGAACAGTGAAAAGGCAGCAAAGACTGATGAGGTCATCTCTCTGCTCTCTCCTTTTGTCAGCATGTTTCTACTCAATTCTGTAAAAGGCAAGATATCTGATTGGCCTCTCTCACTCCAAGTTTGCTGTACTAATGTATACAAGTGTACAATTAAATAAAACTGAGGTGTTTACACTAGTTGTATTGAAATTCATATTTTAATTAAATACATAACTGCATTCATTTGGGTTTTTATTTTTTTAATACCACTGTACCTTTATTAGAATTGGATTTTTTACATTAGTACAGTAACTGTTCTCTTTGGCATATTATATTGTGGGAACATTGTCTATGCTACAGGCAACACAGATGTATGACTTTCAAAAGCTTTTAATACATAAGGGCCATGTATTATTCCAGAAGTAAAGAAGCAAGGTTCCGGTCAATGGGATTTGCAAAGCAAAATTAGAAAATTAACATGATACTGTTCTAACTTTATCTCGAGAGGGACCATTAACCTAATTAGCTTGATCTTTTTCTCTGAAAAACATACCAAAGTGATTTATTGCATGTAAATAACATTCTCTCAGCTTAAAGCGTATCATTTACTTCACTAATCTGATGAGATATTTCATTGAATGAAGCAAGCATACAAATCAGGACACTGCACCAGTAGTGGTAATCTTGCAATTTGTTTCATGATTGCTGTGAAAAGTAAATATTCACTCAGGGAATAATTGATCAAAGTCTCTACATAAGCAACAAATGCTGAAGATAATGTTGAACTCAATGGGAATGTTCCTCTTTAATGCTAGAAGCTTAGGGAGTTTTAAGATTATAGTGTAAATTTATAGTGATGTTTATTGAATTAGTAAGAAATATAAATATAACATAGTAATACCATACAGTCATGGCCAAAAATATTGGCACCCCTGCATTTCTGTCAGACAATGCACTACTTCGCCCAGAAAATTGTTGCAAAACCTCAAAAATGGACTTGTTGAAAATGTTTATTTAATCTAACACATTCCACCAAAACCTCAAAAATGGACTTGACAAAATCATTGGCACCCTCAATTTAATATTTGGTAGCAGATCCCTTGGAAAAAAAAAACCTGAAATCAATTGCTTCCAAAATTCTTACGTGTTTAGTGTTCAAAAAATGTGACCCCCATGTGACTATTTTAGCTATACTTTGTTAAGAACCTCTAATTCAAATAACAGCATGTGCACTATAAAACACCTTCCTCCTTAAGAACTATACATGATTGATAAATAAATATCCTGTGTTGCAAAATCCTTAACACAATTGACAAATAAAAATAACAAGTAAAATTGTGAAATCAATTGAAATTGCTGCATTGTAAAATACAGTGCATAATGTTGGTAGTCCTTTAAAAAGTGCCCTTGAAATAAAGTGCCGTTTTCCAATTCCTCCAATCTGTGTGATACACGTGCTCCACCTCTTTGGACCCCACTCACCGGAGTTCCAGAAACTATCGCTGTTTTCTAGATGGTTTAAAACCGCTTTTGACCAAAAGGGACACTTTTTGGACGCCATGGACATTTCTCAGTTTCAAGGCAGAAAGAACAGTAAATATGCAGGCAGGGCACAGGACAGAGCACTAGGGACAAAATGTATGTGAAATGGTTTGATACAGTAATGTTTTACTATGTGATTTTAGTGAATTTAGTAAATGTCACTTTTACAACTTTCAAATTTCCCGCCAGTTCCGTCCCTGTACGTCCTGACGTCGCAGGGAACGGAACCCAGAAGACAGATGCCGGCATCCACCGGAGGACATTGCAGGGGACACTGCAGGAGGGACACCGCGGGAGAGCAGGACAAGTTAAGTGAAGAAGAGATCCTGGAGCAACGCTGCATGGTAAGCCTGAGTGTAGCTTGGGGTTACTGCTTGTGGTGCTGAAACTTTACCCTGAGCTGCACTCGGGGTAAAGTTTGGGAGGTTAAAATGATGCAAAATCTTAAGACACCCCTTAAAATGATGCACAGTCTTAAGGCAGCCCATTCTAATATGTAAAAAACTAACCTAATAGTTTTACATAACACAGCAACATCCACACATGTAGGACACCCAATGTTAGAGGTAAAATATACTTCCAAAGCAAATATACCTTTGCACACTGGTACCGACTATTATTCCAATGTTTCTTTTGTCCCTCAGTTTCTCTCCCTCACACAGATAATGTGACCCCAGTGCTGACAGAGAGGGGCAGAGGAGAGACAAACAAGGATGCTATGCAAACACCCAATGTCCTCCTTATCAGCCAATGATGTCATTGGTTGTTAGGATGTCCAGTCTAGAAGGTTGTAATAATGCACAATGAAAACCAGTGGCTCTGTGTAACTAAAAGGTAGGTTTGATCCACCCACTGGCTTGTAAATTGTGGACAATTATTAGGAATTTTGCCAAGGCATCCCTACAGAAACCTGAAGGCTCCCCAGGGTGCCTGGGTACCCTGGTTGAAAAAAAATGATTCTCTTGATGATCCTGAAAATTAAAACAAAAAATAAAAAACACTGTATGAATATATAAAATATATCAGCCATAGATTCACAGGAACAAATATAAGTACAAATTTACAGTAAGTCCCTGTGGTTGGATTGTGCCCAGAACATGTGTCCATTGAACTTCCAGTTGTTTAAGGAGAAGTTCACTAACTCATTCTCTCCTAAGTGGAGGTATATGATTAATGAGCATATAGTCCAATTGTGATACAGAAGAAATTTTTCAGTAAAGTGTCTCACTACAGGGATTTCAGTGGATCAATCCCAGATAGAGTATTTATGATGAACTATGCGATCCTTAGCTTTGTTTTCTCAATATTTATTTGAGTGCCACAACCCCGGATTCTGTTCTTTTTTACATTTAAGATGCCGATAGAATTACCTAGAGGACAAATTGATGCCTTATAACTCAGTCAAAAGAACATTCTAGTAAATAACAGGATATCGCTAGCTTGATGATTACTTCATACATCTGCCTCACCTATTGTTAAATTGAAAAGACATTACATCTTTTAAAATTGCAGCTGTGTGGAAAATGCATTATAAATCTTAGCAGAGATTGCACTATTGGGAAAAAAAGGTCATTTTTCGATTACATTTGCTTCATTGGTATGTAAAAACTGAGTGTAGGCAGCTCATAAAGCACATCTGACACAAAGAAAGCAAGGTCTCAATGTTTTAAGCAACTGAAAAAAGTGGAAATCACTTACTACATTAAACTTTCCTTGCCTATCTAAAAAAAAAAAGACCTAGCTTGAGTTCCACTTTAACTTTTTGGTTAGAACAGTATATATATGGAACAATAGAAGTATATTTATAACTTTTTTTTTTTCGTTTGGCATTATGCATTGAAACACATAATAGCCTACAATAAATACAATATTCATAGTTAAAAAAGGAAAAAACGTTTGGCAAAGTTTTTTTTTGATGCCTAAAATCCTGTAATTATCTCATCAAGAAGGAAAAATGTTTAAGGCCTGGTTCATACTAGTACAATTTCAGATATGACTTGAGTCTCACAGAATTGCTTGTAAAGTGAATTTAGCCCCATAAACTTGTACATGCGTTTTTACAGGTTGTTAAGGCTCCTTAACAACCAACATCCAGTCTCCTTCCCCTACCACAAAAACACAGTAGTATCAAAACCACAAAAAATGCAAGTAACACTATATAATCACACTGAAAATCAGATTAAATCACAGTGGTACTAGAGTGAACCTAGCCTAAATAGTAATAGTAATGGGGATATTAGATAAGAGTGAATGAAGGAAAAATTGATAGCACTGGGAAATTGTAGTGAGGAAAGAACCTTCCTCAGTGTTAGTGTGGACCAGGAAGGGATCTAATAAAGTTGCTACTTGCCAGCAGCTAATAATAATGTACTGCATGCGCAAAATGCACAGGCTTTTATCAGACCTGCTGCTGTACAAACGGGTTGAATGTCAGTCGGTTTCTGTTGAACTGGCCAATATGCCCGATATTCGGCCTGTGTGCACAGGGTTTAAGACAAAATTCAAATACTAACAACAACACATTTACAACTCCGCCATCACCAATACAATATCATTATTGCCTCAAAATTTCATCCAAAACCATTCTCTTTATTCCTTCCAAAACCTCCTGCTCTCTAGCTCCTTTGTTTTCTCTTCCCATGCTCACATGCTTCTGCAGAGCCTCTCCCATACTTTGAAACTCCTTACCCCAAACTGTTCAGCTACTGTGTCCACCTTTAGGCGATTCCTGAAAACTCTCTTCAGTGATGTCTAACCTGCCTTTGCCTAACAACTGAAGTTTTCTTTCTTCGTGAACAAATTCCCACACATTTATTACCTGTAGCACCCTGAAGGAGACACTGATGTATGGGTTCCATGGTTCTAGATAATGAGGACTCCTCCAGCAATGCCACATTACTTTATA